CTTCAATATATAATGGTTTTTTGAAAAATTCATGCACATAGTCCTCTGGGTGCATGTGAATCTTGCTCATTGCTGCTATTGCATGACTGCATGTCACACATGTCATGTCCCACCTCCTGCAGTCACATGAGTTAGTAGCTAGGTTGACACAGTACTGATTTTCCTTACTAGACACTTGCCAAATGTCAGGACCAGCCTTATGTGCCTCACAAAATTTGGCATACTTCTTATTCTCCTCTAGTTTCTCTGAATAGTTGGGTGTGATCATCCACCTGCTGTTCTCTGTTTTTTCCCTGGTCTTCTGCCTTTTGATCATTTGCTTAGTCCTTATTCCTTCAAACATAGTTCTAATTGGTTTGGCCCTAACATCAAGGATCATTTTGTTGAAAACCTCACTCAGGTTGTTCACAACAAGATCAGTTTTGCAATTGTAATCCATTGAAGATCTACACCAAGTCTCCTTTGGAATTTTTGAAAGCCACTTCCAGGCATCCTCACACTCTGCTTTAAGCTCTGCCATTGCTAATTCATGGCCATGTTTGGTGAATGAGTAGCTAGCCTTATCTACTAGCTTTTTTAGTTCTGCTCCTCTGAAACCAGCTGACTGAAAATTTGCATAGATGTGCCTGAGGCAGAATCTCTGAGGGGAATCAAGGAACACCTCATTTATAGCCTTAAGAAGACCCTGATTGTAAATTAATAACCATGGTCATGAACAAAAACAAATAAAGCCAGTAATAACTATATTTATGTGAACTACTGGCTAAGATAGGTTGCATACCTTTTGCCTGTCAGAAATAATGGTGTAGGTTCCAAATTTGCTTCCACTTCCAATGCAACGTCTTAGCTGGGTTAAGAACCATGTCCAACTTTTTGAATCTTCCTTATCAACCACACCAAAGGCTATGGGGTAGATGTTGTTGTTGCCATCTCTTCCTGTGGCTGCAAGAATTTGTTGTCCAGTGGTTAGCTTGATGAAGCAACCATCAAGCCCTGCATCCATACCCAAATTAGCTACAAAAAATTACAACAAGATATTTTGAACAAAATGCAGTTATATATTTACCTATAAAGGGCCTGCAACCATTACGAAATCCTTGCTTTGATGCATGCAAGCAGTAGAACATGTACTTAAATCTAGGAGTTGGGGCAGGGTTTTCTGGGTCCTCAAATGTTGTAACTACACACCTGCTACCAGGGTTTGTGTCAAGAACTGCTTGTAGGTAGTCCCTCAGTCTATAGTACTGCTCCTTCTGGTCACCTTGTACAACCTTCATAGCCTTCCTCCTTGCCCTATAGGCCACACTCTTTGATACATCAACTGAAAACTTGACTTTGCTGTTTTTAATAAGTGAATCCACAGGTGCTCTAGGATCTGCTCTAAGAGATGGCTCAACTTCTTTGGAAAGCCACTTAGTAGTAACTTTTGTGTTCTCTGCTGATGCTGGACAAGTGTGCTCCATGTTACACTTCTTAATGCAAAATATTCTTTCATGAGCTATCCTGGAGGCACAGATGTAAAATTCACATCCATGCTCTCTCTGTGAACACCAAACAATAATTCTTGTTGGAGTGTTCCTGTGGTAGTGAAAAGACCTCAAAGTCCTTATATGAAGATCTCTTAATGCTTCTCTGAACTGGTAAACAGAATCAAAACAGAAGCTCTTGCACAAGAGTAAATGTCAATTGGGAATTGAAGGGTCAAAATATACTCTTTCCTTCATCTTTTTCTTACTACTCTTTGTCTTTGCCTTCTTCATGATGTATGGTAGTTCAACTTCATCTTCTTCTTCCTCATCACTTATGCCTGGATCACCAGCAAAACAAAACTCACCTGCTTCAGGAAACCAATCTTCAAAACATTTTTTCTCTACCTCATTGTGACATCTGCTAGTTGGCCCAGGGTTCTTCACATGTTTCACAATAGCAGCACTTTGCAATGGTGTTTCCTCTTCAGAGGCACACTCTATTTCCATTTGTTGAACAGCTTCAGCACTACCATCTGAATGAACTGAATCATCAGAACAAAATTCAGACACTTCAATGTCTCCTTCAAAGTGGTTCAAATCTGCCTCTCTTTGAATCCTGCTCCTCTCAAGCTGAGCCTTTCTATCATCTATCTCATTCTGAAACTCAGATTGCTCCACAACCTTTTGCACACAACAACTCTCTTGAGTGTTCATGTAATTCTGAATAGCATGTGTACTTATTGCAGGTTCAACATCTTTTACAACCCTTATGTTCACAACATTGACATGATTAAAAAACTCCAACATTTCATGAACACTAGATTCATTACCTAAATACTTTACTCTTTCAGATCCAATTTCCTCCTCCTTCACATAGTACATGTAATCACTCTGCCCATACCCTTCACTAGCAATGAGTGATTGTAGAGTAACAAAAGATATATCTCACTCATATATAACCCTTTTCACAGGGTTTCTTCCTTCTAAATGAAACCATATCTCCCACTTCTTGTCAGCAAAACTGCAGAAATAGGTGCTCATGAATTCAATTGAAAATGACAGAGCTACAAGTGCAATACAGTTTACTACACATGTCCAACAAGCTCTAACAAACACATATTACTAATTTGTCAGATTGAAGCAGCTAACCAATTCATGAGCAGCTAACCTGTTTGGCAGATTGAAGCAGCTAACCTAGCAGATGATATTTTCCATACCTGCAACCCATTGGCGATGACTGGGCGAGCTGTGCCTCCTGCTGCTGCGAGCCGGCCTGCGTCGAGAAGCTGGTGCTCCCCAACCAATTGTCGACTGAGCCCGCAGCGTCCAAACTTGTGCCACCGCCGCCTGCGTCGCCGCCGCCGCCGCCGCCACCCATATCTCCGACGCCCCCCTCCGGAACCACCGCCGCCATCGTTGCCGCCGCCGCCACCACCTAGTTCAGAGAGAGGGAGAGGACGGAGAGAGTGCAGCGAGAGGGGAAAGGGTCAGATCTTGACCCGCACCCGACCGACAGCGGCCGTTTCGACAGGGGACGGGCCGTTAACAGCCGTCCGCGCGCGCCGGGCGTCAGTTAGCCCGTGTGGCAACTGTTGGCGGGCCCAACCGGTCAGAATAGGGGTTAGCGCGGGCAAAGCGAGCGATTACGCGAGTTGGTAGTTTTTTGCCACGGCTTAGGAAAAATTTGGTAGTTTTTCGCACAAAAACGTAGAGTGGTAGTTTTCTGTCACGTTTCCGGCAAATGTGGTAGTTTTTGGTTAAATACTCCTTAAAAACGCTCTAAACAAAATGTATTTGTAAGTTCTAAAAATAAATTTGAAACACGTCATGGATATAAGTATTGCTGTCAAATGGTAGCAGAACCGTCTGCAAGGTAGGGTGAGCTACCTGCGTGATGGGCAGTATTTGGCTGCAAAGAGCGAGGTGGTGGAAAACAGATGTGTCTCCGTGGCACGGTCAAATGGCGAGAAAAAAAAGGGTAAAATGGTAGCAGATCTGTCTGCGTGATGGGGTGAGGTCCCTGTGATGGGCAGTATTTGGCAAAGAGTGACGTGGTAGTCTCCATTGCTTCTCGTGTAGCTAGCTGCCTGCTCCACGTTCACAAGATGGTGAGTTTGTACTATCTTGTAAGCGCGCCTCGATGAGTCCACACGGTTGTTCACTGCCCTCCACACGCGCGCGCGCACACACACAATAGGTACGCTAAAGGTATCTTAAAGGAAATCTGAAAAAAAAACTAAGAGCATCTCCAACCGACGTGCTAGATTAGCTGCGTCCTAGAAAAAACGACTATATTGCGCGCGGGATCGAAACTGACGCTTCAGCAGCCGCGCTAAAAAACTAACGGCATCGCGTGTTGCGTATTTGGTGCGTCCGCTCGAGCGGTGCAAAATCTAAGCTGCTGCAGGTGGTGCCATATGGGATTAGGCGTCATGTTTTTGCGCTTCTGGTAAAGCAAAACATCAGCCCAGCACGCTAAAACGTTATTTCGGCACTGTAAAAAAAGTTTAGCGCGCCTCGCAACCGCGCGTATGTGGAGATGCGCTAATCTGACTCAATAAACTGAGAAGCCTTTGGTATACAAGCGTGGAAATTTCACATGAAACAATTCAATTAATTCAAAACAAGGCCAAACAAATCTTTGCCGAGCGGGGGAGTTATTTCTCTTTCTCGTTGTCTCTTGAAAGTTTTTTTTCCTATTATTCTCTGCATGTGGGAATATATGTGGCTACTGCTTTTTGTGGGGCGCATTTTTTTCCTTCAGGAAATACTTGCTGCTTTTTCCTTGGCGCAGGAGGCGCCTCTTGCATGGCCCATGACCGATAACTATGTGCTTGTGTTTAGCCGATGGATCCAAATATATTCTGCTGTCACATTGCCACCGCATCAAATTTGCACCGCATTGAACGAAGGTGTCGCGGAGTTTGCATGTCCAGTTAGCACGTTTATACTATATATGTTGCAAAAAGCCACTTTGGAGGACGGGTGCATTGGAGCACTGTATTTCGAATAGTGTCAAAATGTAAACCATGTGAGTCACACAAAAAAGACAAAATCATGATTTTGAAAAGATGAATAGTGCATGTATTATTGACTATTTGGAAATCATCATTTTGTCATTTTTGTATAGCTACATGTTTACCAATTTCATCATCAAACTTTTACACATATGTAATATACATCCATATGATCATGTAGAATTATTTTCAGAATTTTTTGAAAATTTAAATGTAATTTTTAAAGTATTTAAGATAAGGTCCTCCAATACACCCAGGTTCCAAAAATCCACTCTCATATATGTTGCTCGTAGTATAACAGCAACAACACACGAGTGTGGCAAACTCCATTGCACTACTATAGCACATATATACCACATAAACACATTTTAGTTAAAACTATAATAGCTACGTGTGCGGTGCCCTGTATATACCTCCTACGTGTAGTTGCATATTTCCCATACTCCCATAGGCCGGCCGGCCCCTTATCCATCTCATCCTTTTCCTTCCTGCGGAATTCTTCGTCTCCTACTCCATGGATGCCTGCGCTCTGAACTCGGTATCTTCCTTTTCTTCTTCATCTTGGTTGCATATATGTTAAGACCAGCTGTATGCTCGCTGACCTCTACCTCGATCGTGAGCTATATAGATGGAGGTGAAGGCCAAGCCGGCGAGGGGAGGGAAGAGCGGCAGGGGGAGCGGCGGCATGGCCGGGGTACTGCTGGAGAAGAAGGAGTCGGAGAAGGAGAGGAGGAAGCGCATGAAGGCGCTGTGCGAGAAACTCGCATCCCTTATCCCAAGAGAACACTGTTGCTGCAACGCTGTAAGAACACGTACGCTTTTTCTCATTACGGTACTGTGCAGTTTCACTCCATGTTTATCTCGAGATCTCGTCTCGAAAAGGCCATCTCGAACGGTACTGAGCTTATTCTGAATATTTAACTTCTAGTAATGGACTTTTCTTTTGGAAAGAGGTATAAGGCCATCTCGAACGCGGAGCCCTTCTCATATATCCGGACCGAGCGCTCTGACGCATTTTGCCAGCGCAATCTTATTGGTCCGCAGACCGGTTGAACGTCTGGTTTCTCGCAAATCTGAGGTGAAGCGGGGGCTTTGCGGGCGTTCGGATCGTTGTCACGCATGTGTATGACATCCCGAACCCATCCAAAAACTTTTCTACTCGAAAAACCCTTCCGCGCAAAGCGATTGCTGGGCAATCATGCCGTTCAGCGTTGCTCCATAGCGGTCATGATTCCGTAGCATTAATGCCGGTGGGAGCGACGCAACGGAGGAGCAGGTGGCGCCACTTGAATGCAGCCATGGCGATCGGGAAGCTTACTCCGCTAATTGCACCGCATTGAAGGCGGCTTTTCGTCCCTTCGGCCGGTTGTCGTGTCTATTTAAGCCGTGCTTCAGCGCCATTCACATCGCATCTCTCCACTCAAAGCTCTTCGCTTCCAGCCGCTCCACTCCAGCTCTGCCATGCTGAAGTCTTGGTCCTCTACGCCGGCAGGCCGCAGCCGCTCTGGATCTCCCTCTGGGCCTTGGCTCAGCAGCCGTCGCTCTCCGGCAAGGAGGAGATCGTCATCTGCTCCAACGGCGAGGATGACCAGGCGGCACTGAAGGAGACCCCGCAGCAGACACGCCTATACACAAATAACGCTGCGGTGATGGAAGACGAGTATGTTTGTAAGATGGAGATCATGATGAAGTGGTCAATTCGCTACCATGTTCCATCGTCGCCACCGTGACGCGTGAAGTTCGAGCCGCCATCACCGCCGCGCTACCAAGTGAAGCAAGAGCCGTCATCGCCGCCTCTCCACCGCATGAAGGTGGAGCCACAGTCCCCTCTGCACAACCACGGCATTCAAATCGGGTGCCTCGTGAAGGACGAGTTGTTGTCGCCACGACACATCCGCTATTGTCGCATCGATTAGCCGGCATCATCGCCGAGCTGCGAATGACGTAGCAAGGCCATGAACCAGGAGGTGCTGTCGGCGATTGCGAAGGCGTGCGGGCACATCCTCTACTACCTCGGTGGCCGCGGCTTCTCGTCGTGAAGCATGGACTTAGCGGAGGACAGGGAAGCGAGGCAGGCGGCGAGGCTGGAGCGGCGCAACATGGCGTGCTTCTCGGCCATCGCCAAGTCCAACTAGGCATTGGCATGGGTCCGCGCTGACCCCCAACCACACAGGCCTGGGCCCTCGACCAGTCGCTCACCACCACGGAGATGACCATGCCTCGATGGGGAGCTCGCCAAGATTGATGACGAGTGGTCGATCAGTGACACCTCTGCCGTCATCGGTAGGGGCAAGGCCGTCGAGGCTCCCTGGCTTGCGTCGGAATTGGCCAAGGTGGCCCTCCACATGGCGCAGGAGGAAGCGGAGCGTCTCCTCCGAGAGTGTCAAGTGACAGCCACGCAGGGCTCACTAGTGCAGAATCGAGCTTTAGTCCTGGTTTGTAAGGATTTTTATTTCCGGTTAAACAACCGGCACTAAAGAGTGAGGACTACCCCCTCCCCTTTCCTTTAGTGCCGGTTCGTCACGTCCCGAGACCAAAGGCCCATCACGTGGCACAAGCCCGGGCCGGGGGGCTGGGGCCTTTAGTCCCGGTTGGCTAGACCAACCGGGACTGAAAGCTTTAGGGGTTTATGTGTTTTATGGTTTTTTTTTAATTTTGTGTTTTTCATTTAATTTTTTTATTTCAAACATATTTTATGCTACTACATACTGTACACGCTAAGCATATACTCCCTTTGTTCCTTTATACAAGGTATATTTGTTTTCTGATAAAATTCCAGAATGTAAGATGCATTTCTTCTAATTCCTCATAATTTCTTTGTTAGCCATCTAGAAAAAGGGAAATTTTCTCTCTTCTTGTAGCAAAAGAATGAAAATATCTCTCTGTCGATTGCATGTATCTCATACTTTCCTCGACTAACTAATTTAATTGCCACTAACCAATAAATTTACCGAGGGTAATTTCATACTAACATGTCTACAATTATGTGTCTTGGTCACTGTGCTGAAAAAAATACACCTTACATAAAGGAACGGAGGGAGTATATAAATATAATTTTTCATTTGAAATGCTTGCATTTCTTTCTTACGGGATGTCTGCTCGAAAGAAATCGACGATGCCCTAGGTACGCATTCTTCTTACATTTATCCAAATATATACTATCGATATCACATAAACAGTGCGTGCATGCGTGGTATCCCTTGTTTTTCTGTCCTAAAAGTTTACTGAGAGCAGGCCAATCATTGATGGTTACAAACAGCAATGCATGTAGGTCAAATTTCTCCTGTTTGTGCTTATCCCATGCATGTACAAGTTTTTCATTCCACGGCTGTAAGAGTTTTTCAAATAATGGCCTTAGGTACACATAAATATCGTTGCCGGGTTGCTTAGGGCCTTGGATGAGCACTGACATCATAATGAACTTCCGCTTCATGCACTGCCAAGGAGGAAGGTTATAGATACATAGAGTCACAGGCCAGGTGCTATGATTGTTGCTCTGCTCCCCAAAAGGATTAATGACATCTATACTTAAATTGAACCATACGTTCCTTGCGTCATCTGCAAAGTCCTCCAACTTTCTCTTAATTTTTGTCCACTGCGACCCGTCAGCGGGTACTCTCAACTTTCCGTCTTTCTTACGGTCTTCTTTGTGCCATCGCATCAACTAGGCATGCTCTTTGTTTTGGAACAAATGTTTCAACATTGTATTATAGGAGCATACCACATCACCTTGGCAGGAATCTTCTTCCTGGGGCGCTCGCCCTCAACATCACCAGGTCATCACGGTTGATCTTATAGCACAATGCAACGCATACAGGGCATGCGTTCAAATCCTTGTACTCACCACAGTAGAGGATGCAGTCGTTAGGGCATGCATGTATCTTCTGCACCTCTAATCCTAGAGGGCAGACAGCCTTCTTTGCTTCGTACGTACTGTCAGGCAGCTCGTTGTCCTATGGAAGCATTTTCTTTAACATTATCGGCAACTTTTCAAATCCCTTGTAAGATACACCATTCTCTGTCTTTCATTGCAACAATTCCAGTGTGGTGCCAAGTTTTTTCTTGTCATCTTCGCAATTTGGGTACAACAATTTCTTGTGATCCTCTAACATGCGCTGCAACTTCAACTTCTCCTTTTCATTTGCGCAGTTTCTCTTTGCATCGGCAATGGCCTGACCAAGATCATCAGCGGGCTCATCTGATGCCTCTTCTTCAGCTTCTTTCCCCATTACCGGCTCAGCTTCTTCCCCCATTGTTGTACCATTGTATTCAGGGAATTCATGGCCAGGATAGCTATTGTCATCCTCTTCTTCTTCATTCTCTTCCATTAGGACCCCTCTTTCTCCGTGCTTGGTCCAACAGTTATAGCCGGACATGAAACCAGACTCAAACAGGTGGATGTGAATGGTTCTTGAGTTAAAGTAATTGTGATCATTCTTACAAACAGCACATGGACAACACATAAAACCATCCGCTCGCTTGTTTGCCTCGGCCACTAGTAGAAAAGTATACACGCCATTAATGAAATGGGGAGAGGATCGGTTATCGTACATCCATTGCCGGCTCATCTTCATTACACAACACCGAAAAGACCAAATTAATACAAGTTCATACATAAAGTGCATACACACTTATTCTCATAAAAACATACAAACTCTCTAGCTAAAGTATTTAAATGCAACAAGAAATGCGATCAAGATCGCAACTAAGGTAACAATCAATTGATCCAACAACATAATGATACCAAGCCTCACTATCAACGGCATATTTCCTAATCTTCAAGCGCATTGCATCCATCTTGATCTTGTGATCATCGACGACATCCGCAACATGCAACTCCAATTCCATCTTCTCCTCCTCAATTCTTTTCAATTTTTTCTTCAAGTAATTGTTTTCTTTTTTGAACTAAATTTAACCTCTCGACAAGAGGGTCGGTTGGAATTTCCGGTGCACATACCTCCTAGATAAAAATATCTATGTCAACTTGATGGGCATAATTTGTCATAAACACGAAATGCAACAAATAGTTATAAAAGAGAATATACCACATCCAAATCATAAACCGGACGAGGACCGATGGGGATGGATATCAAAACGATTCCACTATGTAAAACAAATAACGTACGCGTAAGAAAATTATAAAAGTAACTTTCTAAATCACACAAACATGAATTTTTTTAAGGATAAGAACAAGAGGCTCACCAAGGTGGTGCCGGCGATCGGACAATGCGGGCGATCGACGTGGTTAGGACGGGGACAGGAAGGCACTAAGTAAACCACACGTACATATGCAAACTAAGAAGTTAGTTTGAGATCAAATTGCATATAAATCAAATAAACTACCACATAATTACTCCCAAACTAAAACCCACAAATCAATATACTTATAGAGCATTGGAAGAGCTAATCTATCAATGAGAGATGAAAGGACAAAGTTGCTAACCTTTGTGAACACTTTGATGGACGGGGGGTGCTACCTCTTGAGCACTGCGTTGGTTTTCCCTTGAAGAGTAAAGGGTGATGCAGCAAAGTAGCGTAAGTTGTTGGGGAACGTTGCAGAAAATTAAAATTTTTCCTACGATTTCACCAAGATCCATGTATGAGTTCATCTAAGCAACGAGTCAAGGGGAAGAGTTTGCATCTACATACCACTTGTAGATCGAGTGCGGAAGCGTTCAAGGGGATGGTGATGATGGAGTCGTACTCGACGTGATTCGGATCACCGATGACCAAGTGCTGAACGGACAGCACCTCTGCGTTCAACACACGTACGGGACGGACGACGTCTCCTCCGTCTTCATC